AATAATAATAATAATAATAATAATAATAATAATAATAATAATAATAACTAATAGTTTAGTTTTTCCTGTGACTTATTTGCAGTATAATAAATGGTAGGAGCATAATATATGCTCCCAATGTTTTGTTGGTCTTTTTTTGTAAATAATCAATTACGTTTTTTTTGCGGTTTTATTTTTTATTTATTCATCTGGAGATCCTATGACACCATCAACTACTTGAGTTCTACTCGAGTTTTATTATGTTAATATCGAGTTTAAAAATGATGCAGTCGTTCAACCCCTAGTCTGAAGGTAGAAGTAGACGGTCTGATGTTGAATGTTGTGAGTGGTTATGCTCCACAGGTTGGATGTGATGTGGAGGAGAAGGATACATTCTGGAAGGATCTGGATGAAGTGATGGAGAATATTCCCAGGGAGGAGAGAGTGGTGATGGGAGCAGACCTGAATAGACATGTTGGTGAAGCAAACAGAGGGGATGAAGAAGTGATGGGTAGGTTTGGTGTCAAGTCAACTTTATTATAAAGCACATTTAAAACAGCAGCAGGTTGTTTTAAAGTTTGGGGCCCACAACTGAAAAAGCCTGATCTCCTCTGAGCTTCAACCTGGTTTTTGGAACAACCAAAAGCAGCTGCTCAGATGATCTCAGGGCCCGAGAAGGAGCATAAGGTTGAAGTAGCTCAGAGATATGAGGGTTCAAGGACATTTGTGCACGTAAAGATCAGCAGGAGAATTTTAAAATCAGTTCTGATACGTACAGGGAGCCAGTGAAGGGAGGATAAAACTTGTGAAATATGATCAAACAAATTATAAAGGCTTCACAAACATTCAAGCACCACTCTATGGATGCAGTTGAGAAGACATGGAGGTAGTTGGAGTGAGGACAGAGGATAACAAACACGGAGTTAAATGGAGGAGGATGATTGGCTCTGGAAAACCTTAAAAAAATAGACGAATGAAAAAGAAGAATGACGCTCTACCTCACCAAACATTTCATTCTCTTTACATTTTGTTCTTGTAAATGACAATCAACTCAAGACTCTACAAAAGTGATTCCCCCAACAATTTTTTCCAAAAAAAAAAGAAAAAAAAAAGGACAATGAGAACAGCTGTTTTCATACCTCTCTCTTGGCTTTGCCCCTGAACATGTCATCTACTTGTTTGAAGGCACTTTTGAAAGCTGTTGCAGAGTCACTCTGCAGCATCTCCTGTTTACTCAGTGCAACATGAAGATGAGTTGCAGCGTAGACGGCAGCATCCAATCCTCCGTGGCCGTCAAATACAGCATAGTAGGCACGCTGCACTCCATCCTGCTCCATGGTAGAGGCAGAAAAACATTATTTTAAGTGAACAACAAAGTCCATGCTCAATAATCCAGGTAAAAAAATCCAACATTTTTCAGTCAGGTCATCTGGACAGTTTCTTTTTTTTTTTTTGTGCTGAAACGTTTCGCCTTTGATCCGGAAGGCTTCATCAGTCAAGGAAACACACAACAAAACTGATTCTTCCTCCAACAGCT